GCATGTGGAGAGATGTTCGTTCATCTTGCACAAAGGGAACTGTTGGCAGGGGAAACAATTACTCTGATTTCTCAGTGTATGTCCTTGTGCCGGTTGGAAGTTCCTGTCCTTTTCAATGTAAAACCGATTTGGAACTTGTACCTCCCCATATATATGTATGGAGTGGAATTTGCAACTGAAGAGAAACTTTGTGTTCCCAAACAGCTAGACGAAGAAGGCATCAATACATGCTTAAATCTCAGAACTCAGCATGTTGAGAGACGATCTTTCATCTAGCACCAAGGGAGTGGTTTCAAAGGGATACAAGTATTCTAATTTTTAATTCTGTTTCCTGGGTCGGTTTGATGTTCCTGCAGTTTTCACTGAAAAATCAACTTGGTGCTTGTACCTCCCCATTTATATGTACATAGTGTAATTTCCAAATGTAAATAACCTTTGTGTTGCCAGTATGCTAGATCAAGGACGGCTTTCACACATAATTACATCTCAGAACTGAGCATGTGGAGAGAATTCCGTTTATCTAGCACAAAGGGATCATTTGCAGGAGAAACACTTACTCTGGCTTCTTAGTCTGTTTCCTTGTGCCGTTTTAAATTTTCTGCCTTCTCACTGTAAGCCGAGTTGGTGCTTTTACCTCCCCAAATTAATGCACATATTGTTGTTTCCATCTAAAAAGAAACTCTATGTTGCCCGCATGCTAGGTGAAGCACGGATTTCACAGACACTTATCTCTGAAATGTGAGCATGTGTAGAAAAATTCATTAATCTAGAACCAAGGGAACTTTTTGCAAGTGGCACACTTACTCTGATATCTAATTTTGATTCCTTGTGGCAGTTTGAATTCCCTGCATTGTTCATTGTAAAACTGAGATGGAGCTCCCACCACCTCAAATATATGTACATATTGCACTTTCCATATTAAAAGAAGCTATGTGTTCCTAACTTGTTAGGACGTTATTCACATACAAATTTCTCTCAGAAATTAGCATGTGGAGACATTTCCATTCATCTAGCACAAAAGGACCGGGTGGAAGGAGAAACAATTACTCTTGTTTCTCTGTGTGTTTTCAAGTGCTGGTTTCAAATTCCTGCAGCTTTCAGTGTAAAATCTAGTTGAAAATATTATCTCCAATGTATATGATTTTAGTGTAGTTTCCAAATGAAAAGAAACTTTGTGTTCCCAGGAATCCAGGTGAAGTTTGCTTTGAAACATACTTATCTCTAAGAGTTTAGCATGTGGAGAGATGATATTTCATGTATCACAAATGGAACGTGTTGCAGAAGACACACTGTCTCTGTTTTCTCAGTATGATTCCTACAGCCCGTTTGAAGTTTCTGCAAATTTGAATGTAAGCCTGAGTTGATACTAGTACCTCCCCATATATATGTATGTACTGTAGTTTCCAAATGAAAAGAAACTTTATTTGCCAGCAAGCTAGTTGAAGGACGGCTTTCACACAAACTTATCTCTCAGAAATTAACATGTGGAGAGACGGTCGTTCTTCTAGCATGAAGGGAATGGTTTAAAATTGATAAACGTACTCTTATTTCTATGACTGTTTCCTAGTGCAGGTTTGAAGTTCCTGCAGTTTTCACTGTAAAGCTGAGTTGGAGCTAGAATCTCCTCATATATATTTATGTAGTGTTGTTTATAACCAAAAATATTTTGTTCCCAAGAATCTGGGTGAAGTGTGACTTTCACAAAAACTTACCACTCAGAAATGAGCATGTGCAGACAGGTTCTTTATTCAAGCACAAATGGAATGGGTTGCAGTAGAAATACATACAATGTGTTCCCACTCTTTTTCCATTAGCAGGATTGAATTTCCTAAAATTTTAACTGTAAAATCGATTTTTTGTTTGTACCTCCCCTTATATATGTACGTTCTGTAATTTCCAACTGAAAAGAAAATTTGTGTTACCAACAAGCTAGGTGAAGGGCGCTGTCACACACACTTTTCTCTCAGAAATTAGCATGTGGAGAGACTTTCTTTCATCTAGCACCAAGGGAGCGGTTTAAAAGGGATACAAGTAGTCTAATTTCTAAGTCTGTTTCCTGGGTCGGTTTGATGTTCCTGCAGTTTTCACTGAAAAACCAATTAGGAGCTTATACCTACCCATATATGTACAAGTAGTGTACTATCCTAATGAAAAGAAAACTTGTGTTCCCAACATGCTATGTGAAGAACGTCTTTCACGCAAAATATTGTCTCAGAATTGAATATGTGGAGAGACTTTCAAACATCAAGCACAAAAGGGAGCGGTTTCAAAGAAATACAATTACTCTAATTTTTTAGTCTGTTTCCTATAGTCGGTTTGAAATTCCTGAAATTTTCACTGTAACCAAGAGTTGGAGTTAGATTCTCCCCATATATATATACGAATTGTTATTTCCCAATGAAAAGAATCATTTTGTTTCTAACATGCTTTGTGAATGACGGTTTTCACAAAAACTTATCTCTCAGAACTGAGCATGTGGAGACAAGTTCATTCATCGAGCACAAATGGAACCGTTGGCTGGGGAAACAATAAGTCTGTTTCTCAGTCTGTTTAATAGTGCCTGTTTGAAATCCTGCAGTTTTCCGTGTAAAACCGAGTTGGTGCTAGTACCTCCTCACATATAGATATGTATTCCTGTTTCCAAATAAAAAGGAACTTTTTGTTCCTAACATGCAAGTTGAAGGACGGATTTCACAAACAGTTACGTCTCAGAAATGAGCATGTGGACAGACATTCATTCTCCTAGCACAAAAGGAACGGTTGTCAGGAGAAAGATTTACTTTATTTTCCCAGTTTGTTTCCTATTGCCAGTTTCATTTTCCTGCAGTTTTCATTGTAAAACCAAGGTGGAGCTGGAATCTCCCCATATTTATGTGTGTATGTTTGTTTCCAACTAAAAACAACTTTGTGTTCCTTACAAGCTAGGTGAAGTACAGCTTTCACACACACTTATCTCTCAGAAATCAAGATGTGCAGAAATGTTCATTCTATAAGCTGCAACGGAATGGGTTGCAGTAGATAAAATTACTCCGAATTCTTAGTCTGTTTCCTAGCAACCCTTTGAAGTTGCTGCAATTTTCACTGTAAAACAGAGTTGGAGTTAAAACCTCCCCATATATATATATTTATTGTGATTTACAAATTAAAAGAAGCCTTTTATTCTTAACATGCTTGGTGAATGACGGATATCACAAAAACCTATCTCTCAGATCTGAGCATGTGGAGACACATTTGTACATCGAGCAAAAATGAAACTGTTTGCCAGAGAAACAATTATTGTGTTCTTAGTCTGTTTAATAGTTCTGATTTGAAATCCTGTACATTTCACTGTAAAAGTGATTTGGAGGTATTACCTCCCGATATAAATGTAAGGATTGCTGTTTCCAAATGAAAAGGAACTTTCAGATCCTAACATGCAAGGTGAAGTACAGATTTCACAAAGAGTTACGTCTCAGAAATCAGCATGTGGACAGACGTTCATTCTTTTGGCATAAAGGGAACGGTTGTCAGGAGAAATATTTACTCTGATTTCCCAGTTTGTTTCCTACTGCTGGTTTCAATTTCCTGCAGTTTTCATTTTAAAAGCAAGATGGAGTTTGAACCTACCAGTATTTATTTATGAATGGTTGTTTCCTATGAAAAAAAACTTTGTAAACTTTACAAGCTAGGTGAAGGACGGCTCTCACACACACTTACCTCACAGAAATGTACATGTGGAAAGACCTTCGTTCAACTAGCAACAAGGGAAAGGGGTTCCAGTTGATACAATTACTCTGATTTCTAAGTCTGTTTCCTAGCGAAAGTTTGAAGTACCTGTAGTATTCACTGTAAATCTGAGTTGGAGCTAGTATCTACCCATATATATGTATGTTGAGAAGTTTCCAAGTGAAAAAAAGCTTTGTGTTCCCAAGAAGCTAGGTGAAGTACGGCTTTCAAACACACTTTTCTCCGAGAACTGTTAATGTCGATAGAGTTCATTCATCCAGCATTTGGGGAGCGGATTTCAATAAAACACTTACTCTGGTTTCTCAGTCTGTTTCCTTGTGCTGGTTTTAATGTCCTGCATTTTCATGTTAAAACCATGTTGGAGCTAGAACTTCACCATATATAAGTATGTAGTGCAGTTTCCAACGGGAAAAAATCTTTGTGTTCCCAACAAGCGAGTAGAAGGACGGCTTTCACACACACTTACATCTCAGAACTTAGCATGTGGAGAGACTTCCGTTCATCTAGCACAAAGGGATCGTGTTGCAGGAGAAACAGTTTCTCTGGCTTCTTAGTCTGTTTCCTTCTGCAGTTTTTAATTTTCTGCCTTCTCACTGTAAGCCGAGTTGGTGCTTTTACCTCCCCAAATAAATGCACGTAGTGTTGTTTCCATCTAAAAAGAAACTCTATGTTGCCCGCATGCTAGGTGAAGCACGGATTCACAGACACTTATCTCTGAAATCCGAGCATGTGCAGAGAAGTTCGTTAATCTAGAACCAAGGGAACTTTTTGCAAGTGGCACACTTACTCTGTTATCTAAATTTGATTCCTTGTGCCAGTTTGAATTCCCTGCATTGTTCATTGTAAAACTGAGATGAAGCTCGTACCACCTCATATATATGTACATATTGCACTTTCCTTATGAAAAGAAGCTATGTGTTCCTAACATATTAGGTGAAGGACGTCATTCACACACAAATTTCTCTCAGAAATTAGTATGTGGAGACATTTCCATTCATCTAGCACAAAAGGACCGGGTGAAAGGAGAAACAATTACTCTTGTTTCTCTGTGTGTTTTCAAGTGCCGGTTTCAAATTCCTGCAGCTTTCAGTGTAAAACCTAGTTGAAGATATTATCTCCAATGTATAAGTTTTTAGTGTAATTTCCAACTGAAAAGAAACTTTGTGTTCCCAGCAATCCAGGTGAAGTTTGCTTTGAAACATACTTATCTCTAAGAGTTTAGCATGTGGAGAGACGATATTTCATGTATCACAAATGGAACGTGTTGCAGAAGACACACTGACTCTGTTTTCCCTGTATGATTCCTAGAGCCCGTTTGAAGTTCCTGCAAATTTGAATGTAAGCCTGAGTTGTACTAGTACCTCCCCATATATATGTACGTACTGTAGTTTCCAAATGAAAAGAAACTTTGTTTTGCCAGCAAGCTAGGTGAAGGATGGCTTTCACACAAACTTATCTCTCAGAAAGTAACATGTGGAGAGACTGTTGTTCATCTAGCATGAAGGGAATGGTTTAAAATTGATAAACTTACTCTTATTTCTATGACTGTTTCCTAGTGCATGTTTGAAGTTCCTGCAGTTTTCACTGTAAAGCTGAGTTGGAGCTAAAAGCTTCTCATATATATTTATGTAGTGTTGTTTATAACCAAAAATATTTTGTTCCCAGGAATCTGGTGAAGTGTGACTTTCACAAAAAGTTACCACTCAGAATTGAGCATCTGCAGACAGGTTCTTTATTCAAGCACAAATGGAATGGGTTGCAGTAGAAATACATACAATGTGTTCCCACTCTTTTTCCATTAGCAGGATTGAATTTCCTAAAATTTTAACTGTCAAATCGATTTTGTGCTTGTACCTCCCCTTATATATTTACGTTCTGTAATTTCCAACTGAAAAGAAAATTTGTGTTGCCAGCAAGCTAGGTGAAGGGCGCTGTCACACACACTTTTCTCTCAGAAATTAGCATGTGGAGAGACTTTCTTTCATCTAGCACAAGGGAGCGGTTTTAAAGTGATACAAGTATTCTAATTTCTAAGTCTGTTTCCTGGGTCGGTTTGATATTCCTGTAGTTTTCACTGAAAAACCAATTAGGATCTTATACCTCCCCACATATATATAAATAATGTACTATCCTAATGAAAATAAAATTTGTGTTCCCAACATGCTATGTGAAGAACGTCTTTCACGCACAATTTTGTCTCAGAATTGAGTATGTGGAGAGACTTTCGAACATCAAGCACAAAAGGTAGCGGTTTCAAAGAAATACAATTACTCTAATTTTTTAGTCTGTATCCTATGGTCGGTTTGAAATTCCTGAAATTTTCACTGTAACTAAGAGTTGGAGTTAGATTCTCCCCATATATATATACGAATTTAATTTCCCAATGAAAAGAATCATTTTGTTTCTAACATGTGTGGTGAATGACAGATTTCACAAAAACTTATCTCTCAGAACTGAGCATGTTGTGACAAGTTCGTTCATTGAGCACAAATGGAACCGTTGGCTGGGGAAACAATAAGTCTGTTTCTCAGTCTGTTTAATAGTGCCTGTTTGAAATCCTGCAGTTTTCAGTGTAAAACCGAGTTGGAGCTAGTACCTCCTCACATATATGTATGTATTGCTGTTTCCAAATAAAAAGGAACTTTTTGTTCCTAACATGCAAGTTGAAGGACGGATTTCACAAACAGTTACGTCTCAGAAATGAGCATGTGGTCAGACGTTCATTCTCCTAGCACAAATGGAACGGTTGTGAGGAGAAAGATTTACTCTGGTTTCCCAGTTTGTTTCCTATTGCCGGTTTCAATTTCCTGCAGTTTTCATTGTAAAACCAAGGTGGAGCTGGAATCTCCCCATATTTATGTATGTATGGTTGTTTCCAACTAAAAACAACTTTGTGTTCCTTACAAGCTAGGTGAAGTACATCTTTCACACACACTTATCTCTCAGAAATCAAGATGTGCAGAAATGTTCATTCTATAAGCAGCAAGGGAATGGGTTGCAGTAGATAAAATTACTCTGAATTCTTAGTCTGTTTCCTAGCGACCATTTGAAGTTCCTGCAGTTTTCACTGTAAAACAGAGTTGGAGTTAAAACCTCCCCATATATATTTATGTATTGTAAATTTCAAATGAAAAGAATCCTTTTGTTCCTACCATGCTTGGTCAACGATGGATTTCACAAACACCTATCTCTCAGGTCTGTGCCTGTGGAGACACTTTCCTTCATTGAGCACAAATGGAACTGTTTGCCAGTGAAACAATTCCTGTGTTTCTAGTTTGTTTATTAGTGCCGTTTTGAAATCCTGTAAGTTTCACTGTAAAACAGATTTGGAGCTAGTACCTCCCGATATAAATGTATGTATTGCTGTTTCCAAATGAAAAGGACCTTTTTGATCCTAACATGCAAGGTGAAGGACCGATTTCACATAGAGTTACGTCTCAGAAACGAGCATGTGTACAGACGTTCATTCTTCTAGCATAAAGGGAACAGTTGTCAGGAAAACGTTAACTCTGGTTTCCCAGTTTGTTTCCTATTGCCGGTTTCAATTTCCTGCATTTTTCATTGTAAAACCAACTTGGAGCTTGAATCTACCCGTATTTATGTATATATGGTTGTTTCCTACTAAAAGAAACTTTGTGCTCCTTACAAGCTAGGTGAAGGATGGTTTTCACACACACTTATCTCTCAGAAATGAACATGTGGAGAGACGTTCGTTCAACAAGCACCAAGAGAACGGGTTGCTGTAGATACAATTACTCTGATTTCTAAGTGTGTTTCCTAGTGAATATTTGAAGTAACTACAGATTTCCATGTAAAACAGATTGAAGTTATAACCTCCTATATATATATATATATATATATATATATATTAG